AACTGCATAGAAAGCGTCATCGAAACCAATCCAAAATCCTGGTGGGTTTGTTTTATTGGAACCTGAACCAATTTCTTTATCTGCAAATAAATTGACCTTCCATTTTATACGTAATGAATGTATTGTAAAGGTCCAACATATTTTCACCAGGAGGTGAGAGATTGGAATGTTACCCATGTGTTATCTTTAGCAGTTCCAGGTTGTGATGGAATCTTTGCGTCAGAATATTTCTATTAGTGTCACCAATTTTGAACTGCATTGTCTATGATATCGAAATATGAGCGAATCTGATGAATATGCTCTGCTGGAGTAAATTCGTTTAGCTGTTCGTTCTGCATGTATTTACTTCAGATAAAAATATCTATTTACTTCATTATTCTCACTCTTCTTCTTGGTATTCGTGGTGGAAGTTGTTTCTTGACATTTTCAATGAACTGTACATTCTCTTTTGTCTCAACTTCTTTCACTGGGTCAGGGTTCTTTGACTCGGTTTGTTTTTCAATGAAATTCACGAACTTTGCAATAAGCTCTTGGTTCGTTATTGAAAGTACATCTGGCTTCTTTTCTTCTTGTTCTTTTGGTGGCTCAGTTTGAACAGAAGGTTTTATATGGGCTTCGTGGACTTCACCCTTGCCATGCACCTTAATGTTGTCGCTCTCTGCATTCGCTAATGGAACCTTTCTTTTTCTTACGTATATTTTACCATCTTTACTCTGACTTACGTAATAGAAAGGATGTTGTATTCCTCTTGCGTCATTTAATATAATAGACTCTCGCTCTGATTTTGACAAGCTCATTTTACATCGGTTAAAGTTTTAATTTTATTTTTTATCTGCAGTCAAATGACTCAGACAAGTCCTACGGACAAGACCCAAGGGGTCATAGATGTTGAAGCATTGAAGAAAGAAATTCGTGAGCAAATTTTATCCGAACTGAAGGAACAAAAACAAGAACAAAAGCCAGAGAGACCAAAGAGAAAACTTAGTGAAAAACAACTTGCTGCATTAGCTGCTGGAAGACAGAAGAACCCACGTTTGCTGGCGAAGAAAGCTAGAGAAGAAGCAAAAGCAAAGGAAGAAGCAAAAAGCTAAAGCAAAGAAAGCTGAAGCAAAGAAAGAGTAAATGGTTTATTTTTATCCGAACTAAATGTATAGACAAATACCTTTATCTGTTGCGTTCAGTAGTGAAAACCCTGACGTCAAAATAAAGGGGAACAGAGTAACGTTTAAGTTTCCAACAGACTGGATTGTGAACATAAATGAAGAGAAGTACATTGGCATAACATCTATGTATATAACACGTGCTTTCAGAAAGGTTGACTTTATACTTCAAGTCGAGATAGAAAATGACGAACAGTCTTTAAGTGCCCAAAACATTCACATATACAAATACTTTAAAGACGATACAACATTGCAATGTATGATTTCATTTAATGAATGTTCGAGAAAAAGTTCAACATTGAAGTACAAACTTTACAGCCTTTACGTGAGTTTCTTGCACAACTGAAAGAAGAAGGTAGTCAGCCACAACTTATAGACTTTCATTATGAATTTAATGAAAATGAAGATGGAACTCATGACTGTCAATTTTTATATTTCACCATTCAATGAAGTCGCTAAAAAGAAAGAAAATCCATTACGTATAAGATTTCAAATCTCTGAACCAAGTGATGATTTAAGAATGTTTTCAATTATGATGCAATGCTTCCGAGGAAAAATGAATTTTCAAAGATTGTAACACCTGGCATTTGGGATAGAAAGCAAGCAATACTTTACTCTAATATAGCCAAAGGCGTTGAAAATGAGTTCATTGGTCATACAAGAACTTCACCACTTCCTAACCTAAATACTATAAATTAACTGGCTTCAATCGTGAGTTTTGGATAGACATGTTCTCCACTCATGACCATAATGCCAGTGTTCTTACCTCCAGATGGGAAGGACTGTCTCTACATTGAAGCACAATCTTAAACTCTACATCGCAGTATTGTAAAATCTACGCTAGCTTTATTTTTATCACGAATGACCTCATTGCTGACAAAAATAAATGACCTCAGAACTTCAACTTACGAATAAAGCTTGTTTTAGTCGTTATTGAAAAGTTGAACTTTTCAGCAAAGCAAGGTTGACATGACTTACATAAGTCGAATGCAATCTCTTGACCATCATGAAGTGCTTTGTAAAGTTTCATTAAACTGAACTCAGAGTCTTTGTCATATGTTCCAACAGGTATGTGAATGTTCTTATCTTCATTGTAATAGCATTGTATAGCTTCAGGAAACATTTCATTAGCGGTTAAAGCAATAACATCTTGCTTCACGCCTTTCATTCTGCAGTGAAATGCAACTTCATTTAAATCGTTAGTGAGTAAGTCTATGTAGGTCTTCTTTCCACAGAAAATACTTTTATAAGCTAAACTTTGTTTTCCAGGTGTTATTTCTGCAAAGTCGCTATGAAATTGACCAAGGTTCTTTCCTATAAGTTCTCTACCGTATCTCTTCTTAAACTCTGCTGCAAGCTTTGGGATGTCTTCATTATATAAGTGCATACTGTCGGTATCCTGGTAAAAGATTTGAAGTCCCATGTCCTCTGCAGTACAGAATACTTCATTCATAATACGTTTTGACATAGACAGAATATTAACACCAAGTGGACAGAAGTTAAAGTGTCTGCAAATGCTTTTCGTTAGCTTGAAAATAGTTTTATCTGAACCATCCAAACCTTCGAACTTCACTATATGGTTGTAATTTCTTATAGCATATCTTATAGCATCTTTGTCATCTACTATGGTTATTTTTGACTCAATAGGAGATAGAATAGTTTTGCCATAAATGCTGTTCAGAATGAGTTTTATAATTTCTTGTAAGGGTTTCTTCTTTCTTATACTTTAACCTTAACTCAAACAACTTCTTTACTTCATCTCTTTTCTCATATCTCTGTTTCCATCGTAATAGTATCCTTGCAACACTTCACATTTGACACCTTGATATTTTATGAGGTCTTGTAATGTTATATGGTCAACATACATGAGACAGCAAGTGTTTGAACTTCTTGGAACGTTAAGTTCTGGATTTAGTTCAGGGTCGCAAACTATTAAATGAAAGTGTCTGGGTATACCAATCTCTGTTATCTTAATGAGAACAAAGAAGCCAGACATAAACTTTTCACCAATGGGTTCCTTTTGGTCGTCATCGAATAAATGTCTCATGAGATACTCTGTGCTTAACATCTCATCCTTCAATACTTTTGGAATACCTTCTAAAGTATAAAGTCTTGCTATAGCTGAAGGATATAATGAAACAGTGTCTAAGTCAGCAATGAGTTTCTTTTTGCTCTTTTGTTTCATGTTATCTGACAACATACATCTTCCACCTTGAATGCATCTCGAAATAAATTCTCTTGGTTTATTTGAGAGGTCATAAAGATTTCCATTCGGGAAGTATACTCTGTTCTCAAACAATTTGTTAGCAATAGAACAAATACTAACGTAGTCATAAACGTTTAAATCAAACTCTTTCAATAAGTCATTGCGGAACTTTACAAAACCTTCTCTTAAAATTCTTACATCTTGTTTGCAGTAAAACGTGCTATATTTTTCTAAGTCGAAGTGGTTTTCATCTATTCTGCAACCTTTGATGGAATCTATGTTTTTCATGAATGTATCTGCATCCCGGATAAACTTACATGCTTCAGAAATGACACCAGTTCTGTTGTCATTTGCTAACAAAACACTGCTGTAGTAGTTATATGGAAATACTTCTTTCGGTCCTGTTTGTAAGTTAAACATAGCAGGAAATAGTTTAAGCTTCTTATTTATAACACTGTAAGAGTCTTTTATAATAATTGCCCGTCCTTTATATAAACCAGTTATTTGCATTGTTCGTGAACCTTTAATGATGGGAGTTCCTTTCACTTCTGTCATGTGTCTTAAGATGAAGTTTATGTCATAACTGAGGTTATGGAAATATATTAAACTCTTGTCAGGAAGTCTTTCCAAAAATTCTGTTGCACAGTTTGACCCCAAATGCTTTCACTCACTGAACCATCTTCACTGTCGTAACAGATGTTAAAAGCTTTATGAAAGCCATCTGTGCTACACTCAAAGTCAGCAAAGAAAACGTGCTCAGGTATGAATTTACATTTAGCTTTATTTACTTCTTTTGACTCTGCTTTCTTCTTCAGTTGTACACAATACTTTGGAGCATATGTCAAATCTTTAAATGGTGCAAGGTTCTGTTTATATAAGTCAGTAGTATATGTGAAAAGTTCTCCATAAGAAATAGGTTCGAAATATTTGCACTCCCACAATGTTTTCATAACATCCCATAACGGTGTTGTTCTATCATAACGAACTACATATTTATCTTCTCTCTTTGTATAAATCTTCATCTGTTTCTCAATGTTCATTCCACCACAAGCTTTGAGAATTTCTTTATAGTTTCGAATGAAATATGTTGTCATTGGAAGTCTTTCATTTAGCATGTAGTGGTCTTCAACAAGAAGTAAGTCAATAGTTCTAACAGTTTCGCATTCTTTTGGTATATATCTCTTTATTTCATTATGTCTTGAGTCATTGAAATAACCAATGGTAACATTGAATGCTATACCAGTTGCGTCAGAAATTTCTTGTACTTTACTTTGAGGAAAGTCTCTAACACGAATGACTTCTCTCATGTGGTCAATAGTTTCTTCATTTACTCCAGCCTGAATGCAAGCATAAACGAAGCAGTTATCTTCTGTCATAAGTGTTGCAGTTCTTTTGTTCAGTTCATTGAAGATTTGGTAGCGTTCAAGATTTATAGGTAATGTGCAAAGATACTTCCAGAACTGACCGCTTCTCTTCTTATAAAACTTCTTTTCACCAAGGATTTCATTCCAGAAGTCTATATCTTGTTTATCTCCTGTTTGTTAAGTCTGTTCAATAATCTTTCTGTCTTTCTGTCAGTGTGCTTTCATCTCTATATGGTCTCTTTTTTGGTTTGCCTTTCTTTACATCTGACATCGTTAAGCCTTCATATTCTGTTAAATCATACATCTTTATTTCGGTAAGATTCTTTATGTTTGTCAAGAAGAAGTCATAGTGCATTTCAACAATACCTGCAGCATTTGCTTCTATCTCTGATATAAAGTTCTCCTTCAAGAGCTGATGTAGTAATGTTCCAATATTATTGAGGTTTAACGTAGAACATTCATACTTTCCACCAAGTTTATAACATACCATCCATCTCTGTTGTGAGTTTATTTTAATCTTCTCTAAGAGTCTCATGAAAACCTTACCGAAATGTTTGTGTAAGTAGTCTCTGTTTGGTTCATCTAAAGCTTCGATGTTAAAGTCAATGAGTCTATTGCCTGACTTCACATTTCTCTTCCTATTCTCTTCATCTTTCTTTAACCATCTCTCACCTTCTTTTGGTTTGTCGTCAATGGAACGAATGACATCGTTAGCTTTACGAACTTGTTCTATAGCACTTTTAAACATCTCTCTTCTCTGTTGTTTCAGTGTGTCGTCTCTTCTTCTTGTTTCACCAACGTTTGCATTTGTTATGTCAAACATCTCTTGACGAACATCATGAGGTATTGAACGTCTATGATATAAGTCAATAGCAACGTCATTTAAAGGAAATGCTCTTGCATGGACTTCGTCCTCGCCGCGTTGCGGCTTTATGAACTCATGAATTCTATCATAAGTTATTTCACCATTATAGTCATTGAGGATGTCAGCGAGTGCCTTTTTGTTTGTTGCGTAATGCTTTGCAACATCTATGTTAGCTTCTGTAAGAAGTTGTTTTATTTCCGAGTGTTCTAACTTAGACAACTTCCGATACATCTTTAGTAGGAAATAAAAAAATATTTTTTGAAAAAATTAGATTAGATTTTTTTAAGTTATTTTTCAAAATAATTTAATATTTTTATTTTAATGAAACACATGCAAGAGTACAAGTTCTTTTCATACAATGCTCTCGCTACTGCCATCAAGAATGAGTTCAATGGTGCTTCAAACGTTAATGTTATCTTTAACAAGAAGTTTGTGAAAGAATCTAAGTTCGGTCAGTATGTCAGACCATTAGCTATCGTCATTGACCGCAAACGTTATACTTCACAAGAGTTAGCAGTAGTTTTGAAACAAAAGAGTTTCTTCGTGAATGTCAAAGATACTCATTATACTGTCATAAAGAACTCCAACATTGACTTCTTCAGTATTGCTTTAAATCTTTCCGAACAGAAAGAATATAAGAAGGGTGAAACAAATGTGAAATATTATCCTTCATCTCTGAAGACAATAACGAACAAAGATGTTATACAAAAGTTCTTACCAAAGGTTGAAGAAGCTTCTATTGACATTGACGAAGGAAGTGAAATGGTTGAAGAAATTGACCCTGACGTCATTTAAGCAAAAATATATTTTTGGTTAGTCTTCATATCGATATTTTACAACAATTCCCCAATGTATAAACTTTTCATACGCTTTTTCATAAGCTTTATATACCTTCAGAAATTTTGCATAATCTTTAGAAGCATTTAGATATTGTTTAAATGCTTTGTATGTCTTCAGAAATTTTGCATAATCTTTTACATGTTGTTCGTTCTCTTCTTCTGTCATGAGTTCCGAATATTCTAAATTCATGTTCTTTCATATGAGATAAAATTTTATAAAAAAAATAAAATTAGCTTAGATTTTTTTATTCTTCCTCTTTGAAGTTATCGAAATATTCTGTTATTTTTTCCTTCAGTAATGTTAAGTCTTCTTTGAATGTAAGTATTGTGCAACCTTTGATGTCATAGTGTGTTTGAGGAAGAGTATTTTTGACAATTTCCTTTATTTGCTCATTCGGTGTCATTGAAATCGGTAAGTTTTCACGATAGAACCAGTTTCTGTCAGATTTGTAAATCTTAGCAAGGTCATAAAAGCTTTTGTTGTTTCTTCTGACTAAATGCAACATAACCATATCTCTATCTTCTTCTTTCTCCAACTCTTCAGTATATATCATATACTTATAACTCTTTTCCTTTCCTTTTGGTACCGAACGTGGTATTCTTTTCTGTATGCTTTTGTCTTTGGATTCAATGACTTCATCTTTTGCTTGAAGTTTCTTTTCCATCTCTCCACGTTCTTGTCTATGAATTTCGTCAAGAAGTCTGTAAACATGCCATGCATAACGAGGAGAAGCCCACATTGCAACTGCATTTACTAAAAGTCTATGAACATAATAACCTCTTAAATTTATTGGCAAATTTTTACGATTTTCATGTGTTTTATGCATGACCGAAAAAAGTCGGTCTAGAGAAATTTCACTCAAAAGTTCTTGTGTGCTTTGGTTTTTGAACCAGTCGTCTGCGTGTTTAGTGTCTGGAGCAAAACATGCTGTCAAAATACTTTGCATTTGGTACATATCGTCTTTGACCGAACGAATGAGACGGAGTTGTTTGTTAAACTGAACCCACTCGTATTCTTCATTTATGGCTTCATGGACTATAACTGTTGTTGTGTTCTCTAATGTTGACATTACTGTCTTTACATACAAAATAAAAAAATAAATAAAAATAAAACTAACTTTATTTTTCTGTGTTAAAGAAATGTTAAAAATTCAGGGTTACATATGTGAAAAGAAGTCACGAACAAATGAAGGTCATAAGATTCAGCACATAATTCTGAATTGAATGGTGTGTCATACATGTCAAGCCGTCAAGAATTGAAGGAGATACGAGGCTATAAAGATTTTGGATATTTTCTGACACACACCCTGAGGGAAAAGTGACAAAACACGACGATAGAAAAAAGTGACAAAATGGGAGAAAGTTGTTCCCCGACCAAAATGCAATCATGTCGAAAAAGTGACATTTGTAAAGTTAGACGATAGGATTTCCTGAAAAAATACAAGACTTGTCTTGAATCAGGACAAAACTTTACAAAATGTAAACTTTACATAACCGTTTCTATCGTACATGATATTTAGTTGACATTGTAAACTATCTTCATGTAAAGTATGGCGGTTTGAAACCGTCGGGAACCTTCACTTTTTTGACGAACTTTCCGCAGCAATTTTTAAAATTTGTGAAAACTCAACGGTTTGACACGTGCCATATGTCATTTTACTCAGAATTTTGTGCTGAATTCAGCAAAAATAATGTTTATGTTAGCATGTTAGATCTAACACGTTTTCTAACCTCTTTTCTAACATAACTATTTACAAGCGTTTTACATGGTATATGTTGCGATGGTTCATGACTTTAAACAGTTTTGTAGCTTCTATTTCTTCTTTTAGTACATCGAATGTTTTAACAATGCCGAAGGTTTCTTTATATTTCTTCTTGACGTCAGATAGAAGGAAATCGTCAGCAGTTGGATAATTTTTGTTCAGAAATGCTAACATGTCCATTTTATCTTCTGCTGGCTTTTCTACTTCTTTCTTTAAATCTGCATAGTCGTTTCTCATTCTTTCTATCTCTTTGACGGAGTAGTTATATTTCCTCATCGCTGCCTTACATTTTGAACATTGCGGGTTCATTTTTGCGTTATACATTGAAATTTGACCTGCTAAAACAACTAAGGCGTCAATTGCTCTCTTCATCTCAAACATAGCGGGTCTTAGTTGTTCGTTCCATACTTTGCCTCTTCTATCTTTATCTCTTATTTCCCAAACACATTCAGCAACTAATGAAACAAAGTTATCGTAGGTCTTAAATTCTTCAGATTTATATATGTCAGAAACATTCTTATAAACCATGTCGCAATCTTTGTCCATAACTTTATGGTTGCAATGAAAACCAAGGAATTCATAATTTACTTTACGTATGAACTTCTTTATTTCTACTGAGTCAGTTGTTTTGACTTCAATTTCGTCGAATTCAGGAATAGTTAGTTTTTGTTGTTGGATTTCAGGCAATTTGGGTAAATGGTCAATAATGTCCTGCATTTCATAAAGATACTGTTCATTTGTTTCATCTTTCGCACTACAGTCTAAATTACTTGTTAAAAGTTCTTGCTTTATCTTCTGGATTTTTGTTTCGAAAGTATATGAAGAAGGAATGAAGCTTTTCATCTCTACTAACATAGATGTTGGATTCATGACTAACGAGTTTGGTGCTGTAGTTTGAATTGTTGTTGTGCCGATTGTTGAAATCATATCTTTACATACAAGATAAAAATTTTTCTTAGAAAAAAATTAGCGTTATTTTTCTTTCATAAGGAAATGTCAAAAATTCATGATTTTCGAGAGTTTTAGACCATGTTAGAAAAGTGGTTAGAAAACGTGTTAGATCTAACATTCTAACATAAACATTATTTTTGGTGTAAATAAATGGTACCATTAATGAATCATGACTGTTCTCATTCATGTCTGATTTACATCTAATGAAAAAGTTTAGAAGAATTTTCTTATTCTTTCTGGCATATTTTTGTCTTTCCAGTACTCCCGCTCTAATGGTCCCAGATGTGTTGGCTTTGACTCTCTCAAGTTCTTAGATGGTATAACATCTTCAACACCTCCTTCATATCTTACTTTATAAGTGTCATCGTTTATGTTGTAGCCAAGTATTTCAATAACCACTCCTCGCTTTGCTTCGTCAATGGTTTCAGCAAGTTTGCCATTACTACTTTCAACTAATTTGTCGAGGGTAAAATGCTAATGGAGTCGTCAGCAGCTTTTATAAGATATCCATTACCTTGCGTAGAGTCTACGATATAATAATTTCTACTTAACCTTAAACGTTTCTTTGTCAACGGTTTGTCGTCAAGAACTACACGAACTTTTGTACCAGGAATGAGGGTAAATTGTGTTGAATTTCTGATATTTTGTGTTTGGCTTCGTTTCTTTTGTATATACTTTTCTTCTTGTTGTTGTGTCATTGAATTTGGTGTATGTCCTGTTGTAGAATGTGTTGAGGAATTATATACTTCGAGAAAATGTTTCATTGTTTCTTCGGTAAAGTCTCGCTCTTGATTTAAATCTCTGAGCGTTCTTATGAAGCGGTTTATGATGCCGAGTATGTTATGGTTATGGTCTTCAGTAGTGTAGTGAGTTATGTTATGCTTAATGAGAAATTCTGTGATTTCATTGCTGAGGTATGCACTGTCTTGGTCTGATGTTAAAGTACTTGGGTATGTTCTGCTACAAACTTTTGTAAAACTCTTAACACTTCACGAGTTCCTTTATTTTTCATTGGATATGCATATGCTTTACGAGTGTTAACATTTATGAAGATGAGGAATGGTTTATGTCCTCCTTTTCTGCTTTGAATGAGAGTGTCAAATTGGTATGCGTCAGGAGCGTTGGAGTAAATTGGTAAAAAGTAGTCGTAAGGGTTTATTTTTGTTTGATGTACAACATTTTTGTCAAAGAACCTTTTCACTTCAGCTCTGTTAGTAAATCCCCAACTTTTTGCAGCTTCATTGAATTCTTAAATGACCTCCATGGATGTTGTTCGAATACTTCTTTCAAGCTCATTTATGTAAAGTTAAAGATTTTAACCAACTCGTATCCAAGCGTGCATTGTTATATAAGGAGGCATATAATCTTTTCCATTACCTGCTGGGTCTGTAATGCCAGCTAAACATGTGTATGATTTCCTGCAGTTCCACAGAAAATACCTGTTGAATCTACTGGGTCAGTTGATATCATATCTATCCATTCCCTGTCTATCCGAACCTGCTGCAAGATTTCTATAACCTCTTTTTGTTATTGAATGTGAATGGTTTCCTTCCACAGATGTTCTTCCACTGAACCTATGCATATGTGAAGGAAGGTTTTCAATACCTATTTTCTTTGAACCTCCCATCTTCATTGACTGCGTATTAGTGTAGAATGGAAAACTGTCAACTATTTCATACCATCTACCACCAAATAAAGTGTTTGGATTTATTGGATTCATAGACGTATAAACAGCTCCTATAGGATATATTAAATCATATATGCTCATAACTCTATAAACATATTCTAAAGAACTTATGTCATTAAATACCATTTGGAATGTATCTCCCGGATGAAATGTTGCATTTGTTCCACTTTTATAATGTAATGTTAGTTCAATAGAATTATCCAAGAAAAATTCAAAAGTATCTGGTTGAAGACCTCTAACAAATTCAAATGGAGTTGCTGGTTCACCATTTATAATTTCTGTTGTAAATGTCATTGTATCTGGTTTCGAAAATTTCTTTGATAGTTCTTCATCTACATAAGTTTTGTCTGCTTTCTTATCTAACATTGCGGGTAGTTCATATGCTTCAAAGTTTCTGGCATGACTTTCATATGTCCTGCAACTCTTATCTAAACTGTTAAGAGTATCTTTTACGCTTGTACTTGGATTCTCTAATGGTGCACTTGAACCAAGGTCAAAGTTCAATATTATGTCGTCTGCTCTAACAGTAGTGAAGGATTTATGTGTATGGTTCTTGTCGGCTTTCTTATCTAACATTGCTGGTAGTTCATGTGTTTCAAAGTTTCTGGCATGACCTTCAATGTTCATACATTTACTATTTAAGGAGTTTAGTGTATCTTTTACGCTTGTACTTGGATTTTCTAATGGTGCACTTGAACCAAGGGTATAGTTCAATATTATGTCGTCTGCTCTAACAGTAGTGAAGGATTTATGTGTATGGTTCTTGTCAGCTTTACTGTCTAATGTAGCTTGAAGTTCATTTATATCGGAGATGTTGTGTTTATGAGATTTCAAAACTTTGTTCATTGCTTCGAGTTCAACTTTGTCAGCTTTACTTTTAATAGCATCTTCAAACGTTATTTTGCCTTAACTCTCAAAGTAAATCTTGGTTCAACTAATACACCGTTAACATTGAAAGTAGAGGCATAAATTTCACCGGTATAACCAAATGCTTCTGGTGCTTTAGCTACATCATACTGTACAGTACAGCTTATGTCATAACCTTTAGCACGAATGTATTTATATCTTCTTTCATTAACATTTTTTGTCTTCGCTTCATCACTTCGTGTTAAATATCCATGGTAGTCCGTTATAATCTGTTCGTCTGAAGTTATATAATGAACATGGTTCTTGTCCGCTTTACTATTTAATGTAGCTTGAAGTTCATTTATATCGGAGATATTGTGTTTATGAGATTTCAAAACTTTGTTCATTGCGTCAAGTTCATTTTTATCTGTTTTACTATTTAATGTAGCTTGAAGTTCATTTATATCGGAGATATTGTGTTTATGTTCTTTATCTGCTTTTTCGGCTAATTTCTCTTCTATCTCATTTATTTCAAGTTCATGCCTACCACCACCTCCCGAAGAAGTATTTTTCTTCAGCTCTTGAAGAACGTCCACTTCGCCATCTTTGGTGTCAATAATGAGACTTTGAGTTAAAACCTTTCCTGTCTTAATGGATGTTTGTAAAACTTCTTCTTCACCGTGTTCGGGGTCATGGTCGTCATCATATCTTGTGAAATCAGAGATGTTGTCATACATTAAGCATATCTGTCTCAAAAGTTCTGCTATTTGAAACTGGAACGAAAGATATACAGAACTTTCATCATCTCCTAAAGTCAAGTCTGCTTTCTTAAGTATTTCTTGAATGTATGCAATGAGAACAGAGTACCTTGGAAAATATTCGAACAATATTTCATTAGCTGTTGGTTTTGGTGGTTCTTTTGGAGTTTCTGTTGTTTCAGTTCCTTCTGTAGGTTCTGTTGGAGTTTCTGCATCTCTTGACTTCAATGCTCTTGCTCTCAAAGACCTAAATGTTAGAGCACCAGGTTTTACAAAGGACTTTATAAATGCTTTAATAGTTCCTGGTAAGTTATTGTTAGCATTAAGTAAGTTCCTTATGCTTCCATCATGTACGTCCATAGCACTATGTAAAAAATCTATACTTTTCTTGTAGTCAGCAATAGACTGACTGTGATTTTTTAAAGATTTGTCAATACCTTTAAGCCAATCTTCATGCATGTCTGATACTGAGCCAAGAATATCATTTGCTTCCTTTAGTGTATTTTGTGCTTGTCGTAAAGTATCCAATCCCGTACGTGCATTGTTTGCTATACGTCTTACAGTATCTATTTGACTCCTTGTTTCTTGCATCCAACCAGATAAAGTTTTAATAGTATCCGAACCATTTGAAATGAAGTTCAAAGCATTTTTAACGTCATTTAAAACTTCTTCACCAAGTACCGCCCATATCTTTCCGATTTGGTATTGAAGAACTCCATATGAAGCAGCTGTTAAACCAGTATTTATAAGGTCCCATATCCATGATTTAGCAGTTTTTCCATCCTTTCCATCCAAACCGTTCTCGCCTTGAGGTCTTGTATTCCTTGTATTCCTTGTATTCCTTGTGGTCCTTGAGGTCCTTGAGGTCCTTGAGGTCCGGTGTCACCCTTCTCTCCTTTCAGTTCATCTTTATGTTCGTTATAATATTCTAATGTCATAAGGTGTACATCATTACTGCTACCAGCAACGCCAAGAATTTGTTTCTCATTCATGACTAAATTCTTTAGGCATTTAATGTTGTCGTCAAATCGAAAGCTCTTTAACAATTCAATGAGAACATTCAGTACTTTCACTAATGAGGCATCTACTGTAGAATTTATATATTGCACCGTTCCATCATTTATGATAGGAACCTTGCTTGTTGTAATGAATGGGTCATAAGTGTTAAAATCGAAATCAATGACTTTTTTAGTTTTTCCATCGTCAATGACTAAATCATTGCCTTCAATGGTTAAAGTTGAGTTTTCGTTTACTAGTTCATGTGCTCTTCCTTGCTTCATTTGTTCTCATACGCATATGCAGCAATAGTCATATTTTAATGAGAATAAAATGTTGTTCTATTTGCAAAGTACAGACCCAAACGAATACGGGACAGTAAAGCTACAAACAAACTTAGGTCTTCAGAATGAAGCGCTTGCTTTCAGAGTTGTTGACTTCAATACTATCGCAACTTTTGTCATAACAGATGAAACAGATTTCATAGAGATTGAAATAGATGACAAAAGAAGTTTTATAACATTTCCTAACAGAGCAGAGTATAGAATAGATAAAATTGCTGGAGTCATAGGTACTCTCATAAATGAAGAAACTATTGACAACATAGATGTCGAACTCTCTTCTGAGGGAACATTGAAGTTCAGTAGCAAGAAAGAGTTCAAGATAACACGAATGAGTCATAGAGTACAACTTCTTTTGGGTGCATACCATATGACATTTCCTTTGAAAAGTGTTGACAAAACGATTGAGATGAAATCTGTTCCATACGTATGTTATGGTAATTGTTTATACATTGAGTCTAAAAATAGCTAATGTCACAGGCATTTCAGGAGTAAAGTGTTCAGTAGAGTAGTAAAATCTTTCTGTTATGCAGTCAATTCAATGTTCATTCCAAACGTTCCTGTCATAGCAACTCATTTAGGTAAATGGGTTCGCATTAGTCCTCATAATTTGAAAGACATGCAATTCAGACTAGTTGACTTTCAGGGCGAGCCTGTAGAACTGAAGGCACCAGTGCGAATGACTGTTGAAGTTGACTTTTTAGAAAATATTAAATGCAACAGCTTACAAGAGAACTCAGAGCTAAAAATATAAAGTATGAATGTTATGTATTAGGTCATGAACTTTGGTTGTTGCTGTTTGATGAAACAAATGAGTTAGTTATGTCAGTCAAGAGAACAGAAAAAGGCGTCAAAGGCGCCGAGCGCAAAGCGCTATATTGTGTTAGTGAAAACTGCACCAAGTCAATAAGATTAGGTTTGCATTATGAAGATGAGTTCGATACTGTTGAAGAAGTTTTGGATAGATATTACAAATTGCTTTAATTTACTAAAACATATTTCAAGCAAAGTTTATATTCTGTTGAAAGTTTTGTATACTCGTTCGAATATTTATAATTAAACTCAACTCCTGTAGTTCCTGGTGTTTCAATGATGCGGATGTTACCTATTTTCATGAATAGTGGAGTTTGACCACAGCATTCGATTTCAGGGTCGAGATAGTCAATGACACATTGTTTCCCTGTTATTCGTGATATAACATTTTCAAGGTCCTCCTTTGTTAGAATTATTTGGTTCTTACTTATAAGATTTGTCAAAAGCTTCTTATCGTCTTTGAGTAAAATTGTTTGGTATAACTGAAGAAGGTAATGGTCTACGTTATCTGAAGGATTTGTTTGAACATTTATGTAAGGGTTGTCGTTGGCTTCTCTTGAAAGAATTTGGTCCAGTGGTGGATACTCTAACTTAACATCTGATGTAGCGTTAGCGTTTGAAGCTGTGTTTAAATTCACGGCGCCATGCTCCATGATGGGCTCTTTGAGCCCTCCCGACTTAAGTTCTGGTTCTTTTTCTTTCAAACACTCTGAACTATAGTTCTTTATGACAATATTGTTTGTCGTTCGTGAGTCAACATTTGATGTTGGTTCAATTGGAACATTAACGGCACCAGCTAAGATGGATTTGCTTCTCATTTCATATAGAATAAAAACCTTTTATATGTATGAAATGAACAATATACTCGACAAGGGTTTGAATGTAAAGCTAACGAATGAAAATATTGTTGAATTCACTGAGACAGGAGCTGCGTATAAAGATGTAGAACTACTGAACAAAAGAGCTAAGGGAAGAAGCAGGAACATGAACAAAGGGTGAAGCCTATAAAAATTTATGTCAACGATGGCTCAGGAGGTTCAAACATAAAGTATGCAGAAAGTTATAGAGTTTATGCTCTCAAAGGTGAAAAGCCTTCATTTAAGAACAGCTATTCTAACGCATATCCTCAAAAGCTAACGGATGGGGAAGTGGATGATATGAATGACAGCAAAAATATTAACAGAAATGGCGACAGAGATGCATGGAATTTGTTTACCATCAGTCAATTGAAGGTTAAACTTTAAAACAATGTTGGTCGTTCCCATGGAATATTTTTGACTTTAATGGTATTAGTCATGATATGAATCTCAAGGTATGAACGAGGAGAGATGAGAGACTTATATGCTTCCCAAATTTCTTCAAAAGGTAATGTTATACCTGACTGTTTCCAAATGAGTTCAATATCATAACGTGAGAAACCTTGAAAGATAACGAAGTCAGTTATGAGACGTTTTATGTTTAAAGCAAGGAAAACGCCATGTTTGCATAAGTATTGCTACAGTTAAATGGTAATGTCTGACTTTAGTTATGATGTTAGCTAATGGTGAGTCAGGCTTTGACACTAAACCTTTTCCGGCGAAGTCGTCACAAACGAGCAGAGTATTTGAAGGATACTTTTTGAAGGGGTATTTTGAAAGTTTTGACAGAATGTAGTTTGTCAGTCGTTTCATATCGTAAACTTCTGAGTACTGACGTAAGTGGTGTTTGTCAATAATTCTTTCCATCTCTTCTGAAGTCTTTTGCATTCCTGACTGTATAAATTCAACGATGGCATAATATTTTCTCTTACGTCGAATGTAACGTTGAAGAAATTCAATGAGTTCACTGTCTGGAACTTTAACGACAGATGCTTGAACTTTACTCATGAATGTTTTCGCTGTTGAGTCCATAGAGTCTGAAGTTGCTGATATAATGATTTGGTCATAATATGAGTCATTTCCTAAACGTTCTGTTATGAGTATATGACGAATGAGGTTAAATGTCTTACCTGAACCCATCTTTCCACAATAGAAATACACACCATTTGAACAGAATTCATAATCTTTGCTGAAAGGAAGAATAAGAGAAGAGTTAAGTTTGTCTGTAGTTTCATTCATGTCTTCATCTACGTCATGTATTAAATGCTTCATTTTATCTCCATTAAAAATGCAAGTCAGAAATATTCAGAACATAGCACCGAGTCTAACTGACAAGAGTATAAAGATATACTATGAACATGTTATGATGAAACCAACCAAAATTCAAGAAAGTCAGTATACTTATGAATATCCAAGACACTGGGTAGAGTATGTAGGAGGTGAGAAAGCTATTGAAATAAGACAAGTTAGAAGTATTCCAGCAGGAAGGACAATATTATTGAAGAACTTTAATGTTTTAAGATATAATGATGAAACAAAGAAGCAAGATAGTTTTCCTGTTGCTGTGTATGTGAACTTAGATACAGGAGATGACATGAAAGTTTTTAATACAAAGCTTCAAACGGTAGTGAGAGAACAACTTACTGCGGAAGGACATCCATTACCTTCAGAAGTTACCATAGCATATAATTTTGAAACAAACTCAATAGATTTTAAAGTCGTCTCTGCAAAGAAGTCAGGATTTACATTTAATGAAGCAGATGTATATTCGAATGAAAACTTCAAAGCTATTGCATGGTTAGATAATGACGATTGCTTTAAGAAAATATTTAAATACAGTGACTCAACGATGTCAATAGATGACCTTCGTGGAATGTTACCATCGACGTTTACAGTAGAAGGTTCAGCAGGATTGCTTACAAGATTGTCAATTGGTGGTATTTGGTCTCGTGAGAACATTGTTATAAAATCCAGTATAAGTGAATTTGCTGAAGAATCTATATTATGTCTTTCAAACTACATGTATTCGCCGCCGAAGCATTATAGTATAACAAACTTTGTCAGTAAGTTTAACATAAGACTTGTCGAACCTTCTTCAATGAAAGATGTTGTGCTACCTAAAGACGGAAAGGATGGACTCATTATTGAGATGATTTTAATAGCATATTAAATGAGCTTGTTCTTAAAGGTCGTTCATGATGAAATAACTGTTGTAGAAGATGTTAGCAATTGTTCAGACATTTTGAAGCGTATAGATGATATAAGAAAGAAGTTAGATAGACCGCAAAGCGGTGAGGGCGAAGCACGTGAGAATGTTTATGTTTCATTGACTTTCTCCAGTAACGAGAACTTTTATGAGATAATATTGAAGAGAGATGATTTTAATATGGTGTAAATGGTAGCTTGGGCAGCTTTAGGCGCAATGGGAACAAAAGCATTAGCATTTGGAGCAAAAGCACTTGGAGCTTATGACGCAGTAAATAAAATGAGTGGAGGAAGGGTTTCGAAGACATTAGATGCAAATAAAGGAAAGATTGGAGGCTGGGTTGCAAAGAAGTTAAGATTAAATAAAATAGGGCTCATAAATAAAGCATCCAATTTGGTTGCGACTGAGTCAGAAAATGCTTTAGGAAAGGACGATGAGTTTGCAAAACACGCAAAAGACTTTAATGACCAGATGAAAGGTGAAACAATGCATTTAAATAGAGTCGATGGAACTAAAGAAAATGTTTCTTCTCCACCAGTAGTTCTTCCGTATGGTCCCTATGGAATGTATGGAAACCCTTACGAAAGACCATTTGACCCATTGACTGGTGGAAGTAACTGGTATCATTACGGACGAAGAAGAAAGACAGTCAAGTTGGAGACAGACGTGAAGAAAGCAACTAAAAAGAAACCAAGGAAGAGAGTTATAAAGCAATGAATTCAACAGGGTGAAAAAAGAGGTTAGAAAACGTGTTAGATCTAACATTCTAACATAAACATTATTTTTGTGCTATGTTTTTCATACGTGTGAGGGTGGTGATATCATTTATTTTTAAATAAATGTGGGAACAAAAATAAAGCATATCTACTCAACAGGAATGAGACCCTTACTGACTATGTATTCGTTTAATGCTTGATGAAAACAATGGTACATATTATCGTATGGGTATACACAGCGTCTGTTTCCATCGTCGTCGTATATGTAGAGCTCAAATCCAGTCCAACCTTCTTTTGTACAATATGTAGCTTTATTTAAGTATGCATTTATGTAGATAAGGCAATTTTCTTCATCGCTCCAGAAATAATTTTTGTTCTTTGTTGAAATAGTTTTCGTTCCTCTGCGACCATAAGGAATGTATGCAATGAACTTTGCGTCATATGGGATTGTAATATATTCGGGGTTTCTTTCATCGTCAATGGGTCTATCTTTGTTAAAATGCATGTTTCTCAGTTTTACTTGAGTTTTGAATAGTTCACGGAAACGTTCTGGGAAAGAGTCATAGTAAATGTAGTCGGACATGTCTTTGTAATGAAATAAAAAAATTAAAAAAAATAAAAATAAGGTTATTTTTATTTAGTGAGGACGGTAGTGAATTCATTAGTGAAGTCATTAGTGAAGTCATTAGTGAAGTCGTTTATGTGTCAGATGGTTTTGTAAATATTTAAGGTTAAGTTGGTGTTATGGTTGTGTTGTAAAATATACGTTACCGGCTTCGTAAAGTGTCAAAACCGCTAAGTGGTGTACGGAGGCGCGCAGTGCCACAGTACCCAAGAGAGGGATACTAACTAGGAATATGTGGCTAGTAAGTTAGAGAAGAAAGCAGATAAGGAATATGTGGATGAAAAAGATAATGAAATTATAGAAAGGGCTGAATGGTATCATGAATGGACATCGAAGATTTTAAAAACTAAAGCCGATACAGGATGGGTTTCAGGATGTTTAGACCTTAAAGCAGATAAAACTTATGTTAACGATGAGTTAGAGAAGAAAGCAAATAAGACTCATACACATACAAGTTTTACAACTGTTGCTATAGAAAGTATTGAAGGAACGGTTGAAGAAACTGGTGGGGATGCATTATATTGTAAACCTCCTAACTTTCCACAAGGTTTAACATCGGATGACGACATAACGACGATGAAAAACATTAGATGTAAAGATGTTTATGTCATGAAGGATGAACATAATATTAAATTCACTGCTCAAGATTTATATGACAAGAAAGCAGACAAAACAGAGCTTCAAACATTAAAGACAGAAATACTTCAAACATTATATCAAGATTATATCACTATAATGTTACCAGACCAGAGTAGTACTTGGTTTTGGAACTTGGACTCAAATAGTCGACAGGTTTTTGTATTGTGCAAACTCTTCAAAGGAAACAGGTGGAAGTAAAACGATTTCAGTGAAATTACACTGACACAGTCAACACTATAAGTACATCACACAAGCAGTTGGCATAAGCATAGATATTGGGATTGGTCAGCAATGACAAAAGGTAAAGGATATGATGTTAAAGACAACGTTAAGTTTGCTATAAATTGTTACTGGAGTAACACTGAGGGAGGAGGAAACCATACACATCGCGTTTCAGGATATAGCGCAAACAAACGAGGGACAAGAAAGCTAAAGAATACTGCACCTTGATATAGGATGAAGTTTACGATTGACTAGGTATTAGAAATTGCGCTCTAGGTCGATGCATCTTTTCACAGCTTCTTTACAGAATATTCGCATCGGATTGTCTTAATATTTGTTAGAACTTTCTTTGAAAGTATACCACTTGAACTTTGACAAGTTTGAAACGAGGTCTGACAAATGTAGTTTTTATCTTCTGCTTGCAGTGTGTACATATTTGCCATGTTTGCCTAAAACTTCATAATATTCTCTTATTGTATACTTTCTTCTATTTATTCGAACACGAATGTGAGTACCTGTCGTAGTTCCCATTGTTGTCTAGTCAATGTATTCTTCATATGGGTTCGCGTTTTGGTATTTCTATTTTTACTTGTTCACCTTTCTGAAGTTTGAAGCCCGGCATTCTTTCTTGTTTGTCTCTTTTGAACTAAATTATTAAAATAATAGTCTTTCTCTAAGTCAGGATTGTTTTTCATTTCTTCGGGGGAGTGGTTTCCCAAACCTTTTTGTTTACGGTTATTGTAAATATTTAAAACTTGTCTCATCTTTGCCATGGAGAAGTGTCTATATTTGTCGTCATACTGAATTCTCATTTGCGTCTTCACCACCTTGTGGTTGGTTTAAGTCTCTTAACATTTTTATACAACCGTCAATGACACCAAAGAGCAGAATGGTTTTGGTCGACAATGAAATATTGGTTTACATTTTTTGAACGCAGATAGTTTTTACTCATCTGATTGAAAGAAACTTTCACAGTCAGATGTCAAGTTTTTGTTGGCATTGGTATTTGTCAACGAATATTGTCAAAGCAGTGTTTCACATCTTAAATATTTTTGGGACCATATTGCTGTGGCTTACCAGTATCGATTTGGTTTTGAAACCGACAATATTAGCAGTATGGTGGTCATATGGTCTAACGTCTCGAATGTTTTCAAGTATCCATAAACCAAGCATTTGGTGTTTGAACTAAAGATTTTTACCATGAGTGCTTTCTTTGTCGCTTAGAAACATAGGGTCTTGTTTGGATTCGTCATTTTTTAACCCTTCAAGACATGGGTTTCTTTGGCAGCATTAGCAGGAGTTGCCATCCAGATTTTGGCCCGCAGTGGGACAAAATAGCGCAGAGGTGTATTTATGGAAGTTGGAAGGAAAGACATTTTTGAGTCACATTAGGTATACTTAAAGAGAAGCACTTACTAATTATAACAAACTAGTACATGAAAGATTGGGATGGTAGCCACGAGATGCAACACATTTAATTCCAAATCCTGAAACAAGAGGAAAAGTTCAAGATGGATGGACAATGTAGGAAGACAAGCAGGAAACTATTATAACAAAGCAAATGACTATATAACCAACAGGGCATATATGGGCTTCAAGGTGAAAAGAGATTCTTTAACAGAGGATATAAACATGCACAAATCAGTGGTATAACAATTACCCAACTACCTCAACGCTAAACGTGGGGAATGTAGTTTTTTATGAGATGAAATGAACAATACAGCATTGGACAAATGGGGTTCAGATGGCTTTGTTCGACTTCCAGCAGTTACACACACGTGTATGTCAAGTTCTTTCTATACTCAGGAAGTTTTAGACCGACTTAAACCAA